TTTTTCTGGCGAATTCTATAGTAGCTTTGTTTCCCGACGAGGTCAGAGCCACTTACTATACGTGCCGCATCCCAAAGAACGGCGATAGAGGAGCTGTGCAACCGAAAGGAATTTTGTACGATAAGTATCACAACTTATTAAAATTCCTGAGGAAACATGGGATGCGGGGCAGTATTCGCTCTGCCAAAGACACCGAAAACCCCGATGGTATGGTATCTCTTGATAGTTTCTCCGGTAGACGTTATCGTCACGAATATGTGAATCTAATTTACATTTGTATGCAGATCCATTTGATGTAGCTTTGCTGCAGCGACCGGACATTGAGGGGCTTGAGAAGCACTCACTGTCGTCGCAGCAAACTACGGCAGAGAAGTGGGCTCTCACTGCAGAGTACCGCCAAAATCTGCTCTGGAACCTTGTATGCAGAAAGTCGAGGTCCAGAGCAACACATGACAAAGTGGCGACGTACCTCAGGCAGTTTCCTTGCCTTGAGCAGCAGTGGGGCCTTAAACTGGTACGTGTTAAATGAACTACATTACGTCCACTGCTAGGCTTGCAGTGCAGTGAACTTATGTTAAGCATTCAGAGGCATATGTTTAACACAGTCGGATGGTCGTTTCGTTCCAGATTTTGGATGATTTCACACGCTGGTTTGGCGGTCGGTGTGTCGACGTTGTGAGCGAGTGGGTGATTATATCAGACAAACTGAGACGGTACCTCAAGGTGAAAGAGGCCGCCACGCCGACTGGTAAGTTTCAGAGCCCAAATGCTACTATCCTTTCTTGTGAGCTAAGTTACATTGTGAATATTATTTTCTATCTTCTTCTTCTAGGAACTGACCTTAGGATCTTGCAGGCGGTGGCTCGCCTATTCAGGCAGCCCAATTTGGTGCTACCAACCAAGAAGGGATCAGTTGGGCCCAAAACCAATTGGAAACCAACAACACAGGAAAGTGTTAGTGGTTTATTGATGCATGTGCAGGTATTTGTCTTTTGTATGTAACTCGGCATTTATCTATTATTCACCCGATCAACTGGACTAACTCAGGAATCTTTTACAGAGTATCGCAGATCTCGAACCAGCTGTCAACAAGTCTAAGGAGAGTTGCGAGAGAGTAGGGAGGGCTCTGCAACCTTTTCCGGCAGTAGTAGGGCGGACCGAAGATTCCATCACCGACTGCTACGTCATTGTAGATAATTTAAGGTATACAGTGGAGAGCCCTTTAGTTGCTGTAGATACTTGCTTTAAACTTTACCAGGCTCTTCACTGTGAGTATCCTGTACAGTCAAACTTTAGCTGGCGGTTCATTCAGCAGGCGCTATACAGACTGAAAACCGAATATGATGATGAGATTCCGTCTGTAGAGCGCTGTGTGAATGATTTCAGAAAACTGTAGTTTGTTTAAAGTTAATTTGTTGCGAAAAACGTTGCAGTTGTTATCTATTTTTTAAGTTTGTCTTGTCATTTTTAATTGATTGTTTATAGTATATAGCTTAGTTTCGCCATCATGGAAGGCAAATTTAAGGCAACGTGCCCGATTAAGCCACACTGTGGGGTGTTTTGTATTGAGCCTCTTAAAGTACATTTAGGACTCGTGCACAAGTTGGAATTTAAGAACCAGTCGTTAGAATGTAAGGAAACGGGCTGCACTAGGTCTTTCAAAAATTGGGGTGACTATCGTCGTCATGTTCAGACTCATAGGCTTAGGGTAGGCAAGCCTAGTGGCGTGGCTGTTGAAAGTGATCAGAACGTAGGGCTTCTAGAATGTGACAGTTTTACTAACGATACACCTTGTGTGGGATCGAGTGAATCGGGGCCTTCTTTAGATTCAGTAAAGTCGCACATGCGGCAAGTTTTTTTGTGTTTTGTTGGCAAAATGTACTCAGTGCCTAAAATCGCAAAATGTACTCAGTGCCTAAAATCCCTCGGAGTTTTGTGCAGAATATAGTTTTAGATATAATTTCCCTGTTTGAAGAGAGTGTTGCTCAAGTTGATAATCTGTCGGCCGGTGCAGAAAATGTAGATTTTGTTGAAAGGGGCCATTTGAACACCTTTAAAGAAATACTTTCCGTCTTGAACGAGTTCAGAACGGAATACAGAAGACTACAAATTATGCAGAAAACTGGTAATTTCATAAAGCCGAAGCCGTTTACTGTTGGCAGTGAAGTCAAAGAGAGGCTAGTTAATAATCGAATTGTCAAAGGATTGACTCCTTTGACAGGCCAGTTAGTACCCATCAGGAAAGTGTTAGAATGCTTTTTTTCAATGCCAGGTGTTTTTAAAGAAGTAATGGACTATGTAAATAGGCTGGAAAACGAAACTTACGGAGTTCTTGGACATTTCATTCACGGCGCTCTTTGGAAATTTAAAGTTACAAAATTTTTTTCTGGGAAGTTAGTGCTGCCATAATTTTTTTACCATGATGAATGTGAAATCAACAACCCATTGGGATCTCATGCTGTCATTCAGAAGCTAGGAGGCACGTACTTTAATTGTCCATGCCTGCCTCCAGAGCACAGATCTAAATTGGCTAATATTTTTCTTGCCATGCTCACATATGCATCAGATAGAAAGTCCTCGGAGTGTACTGTCATGAGAAATGCTCAAATCTTTAGAGTGCTTGTTGACCAAATCAATGACCTGCAAAGAAATGGTATAGTTATTCGAAATGGTTCAGAGAAACAAACATTGTATTTCGGATTTGGTCTGTTGTTGGCTGATAATGAAGGTTTAAATAACTGTCAGGATTTTGCGAGTGCCGGTTCACATTGTCGTATTTGCAGGGCTTCCCTAGCACAAATTAGAGAAGATGAGTATGAAAGGCCTCATCTATTAAGATTTGAAGAAGATTATGAAGCGGACATTAGAGCCGGGTACAAAAGATCAGGGGTCAAGCGCGAGTCTGTATGGAATGAAATTGAAGGGCACCACATTTACAGTAATTTTTCTGTTGACGTCTTACATGACCTCGAGGAGGGCACTCTAAAATATGGCATGTTCCATGTTGTTAACCATTTTGTCAACAATGCTAAAAAAAGGGTTTCCCTTGCAATTTTAAATGACCGTTTAAAAACTTTCAATTATTATGACAATGGCATCACTAACAAGCCCCAGCTAATTTCAGATAGAGATTTAAATATTGAACAGCGTTTAAAAATGTCTGGCTCAGAAATGCATAATTTTACTCTTATTTTTGCTATGTTAATTGGAGATTTAATTGATTGTTCAGATAAAGTTTGGCAATACTATATTCTTCTTAGAAGAATTGTACATTTCGTTTATGCGCCAGAAGTTCAAAGAGAATCCATTGACAGTTTCGACCATTTAGTCGCCTCTCATCACAAGTTCTATAAGGCGTTGTTCAAGGACACTCTTAAACCGAAGCATCACAACTTAATACATTACGGCAGGATCATGAAGCAGAGTGGTCCTTTGAGCTACTTAAGCACTTTCCGGTATGAAGCAAGGCACAAACCAATTAAGGAAGCAGCTGCCGCAACAGCCTCCAGGCGCGATTCAGCTTATACAGTTGCTCTTAAAGATCAGTTAACGTTATGTTACCGTTTGTCAGGTAACCAGGGGCTAACAAATAAACTACAAACTGGGCCATCATTTATTTTGACGGCAGAGGAACAGTCCAATTTGTGTCTACCAGAAAACTACGGTGACGTAATGGAAATTTCTTGGGTTGATTTTAAAGGTACAAGATATCGCCCAAATATGTATGTTTGTCACAGCGTTGATGAGTCTGACGGCTTACCTCAGTTTGGCCGAATCGAAAAGCTTCTTTGTGATAATAAGTTTCAAGTACTTTTGTATTACAGGAATTTTGCTACCCTTGGTCTGGAGTATAATCTTTTTGCTTATGAGGTGCAGGAAAAAAATAGTTGTAACCATGTATGCCTTGACTTGCTTCCTATATATAGTCCTGTTATGTCGAGAGTCATGGGCACAGATGAGTTTATGACTTTGAAACATGCCCTGTGAATTCAAAATACATTTACAGTGATATTTTTTGTATCAAGCATCTTTTGTACAAATTAATTATGGTCGTTACTGTGATGAGTTCATTGTACCTAGCTTATTTTGTACAAATTTATTATGGTCGCTATTGTGATATGTTCATAATATCTAGGTTATTTTGTGCAAATTAATTATGGGCGTTACTGTAATATATTTTCTGTATCCAGCATATTTTGTACAAATTAATAATGGTCGTTACTGTGATACTTTGTGTATCATATTTTGTACTTGTTAATTACGGTCATTATTCTATTTATGTCAATGTTACTTGTATTTGGTCTTTAATAGTTTAAAAATGTGTTTGTGTCCTGCGATTGTATGCTAACATTACTATGAATTTTCAAATTTTTGCATCATTCATAATTTTGTTATTATTTGTTTGTTTAATACGTACAAGAAGTGGAAAGTAACTTTTCGTTGCGAGAAATAAAATGAAACCACATCTATTTAGCGGTGTACTATTTTTAGAATATTCCCACTCACTTTTCTGCCACTTTCACTGACAACTCGGTTGTCAAAACTTTGCACATGGCAACTACAACCCTGAAATTGGTACGATAGAACTATGAATATGGTAATTATTACCTTATAAGACAGTGTCAGTTACCGGAAAATTGGTTGGCAGAACGAATCACGTATCCCCACGCACGACCATTCAAGGAGTTACGACAACTATACGGACGTGGTTATTCACTATTAAGCCAGGTCGGCATTACTATTTAGTTGGTACCCACAACCAACCCGCTTGCTTAGTCACACCTTTCTCCCGTGTGTTCCGGCCATTCGATGGGAAACGGAAACTGTGCGGTCAAAGTCGGCGTTACTATTTAGTTGGTTCCCACAACCAACTCGCATGCGCCGTCCCACCAACCGCTCGGGAACCAGAACCAATAAGATGGTGGTCCATGCAACCAACAGACAACGACCGACTATCTTGGTTCACCCAACCAACTAGCTGGTTTTACGAAAATTAACCCTCAAAGATGGTTGGGGGAACCAGCTTGCGGGTCGACCCGACCAACCATTTTTCTCCGTGCAACATCAGGATCAGAGAATGCAGGAACCAGAAGGTCCACTAGGCTCAGTCTAGTGGCTGATGTTAAAAGTTTAGGTGATGTGAAGAAAGATCTCGATGCTAAAGAACACGAGAGGTGAGTCCTACATTTATTATTATAGTGATGGTGGTACAGTAGTACTTCATTGCGTTCTTGTATGTTCAGCCATCTAGATGAAGATGATCTGGAAGAGGTTCCTGTCAAATCTAATAGTGGCGGTAGACTAAAGGAAATGAAGGATAACTTAAGAGAATGCATTCTAAGTGATGCTAGTACCACATAGGAGGACGTGCATGGTCTGAACTGTTAAGAGATGGCATCGTTACCTCTACCAAAATTACCTCTTGGTCGGAGACCGACGCTAGCGACTGCCGCCAGTCCTGCCGGAGGGCCTCCGCCTGCAGCAATTTCCACACCCAACAAAATTCGCCATAAAACGGATTGGATGTATGGTTGTGCTCCAAGTCGCTCTATTTCAGGACAATATTAGTGAATTCCGTCGGGCACGTAGCGCGCACTTCACACTTTCTACTCTCGTGCTCCATGCACTTTAAGGTTATAGACGTTTTGCCTTGGCGACAACCTTTCGACTTAGAAGTAGTGCCCGTCCTAAACAACGATCGCCCTATTCCGTTGCGACGGGATGGTCGCCGGGTTACCGTCGTACTGCGGCATTGTGATGAACTGATGATGACACACGTAAACGCTCTAAGAAGAAGGCTCGGGTGGGGTTGGGTAGGGGTGGGTCCTGGGTATGAGAGCACTGTACCAGGTGATTCAGAGCACGCGCCGCCGTGTTGCGGGCCTGCCTATGCTCGACTCGGCGGGCGCAAGGGTTCGCTCCGCGGCTTTCCCCGGACCGGGCGGCGGGCGGCGACGAGTTGGATGGCCGGGCGGTGGGAGGAGGACGGGAGACGTGTGTAGCGACGTCAGAATGCTTCACGCCGGAGCCAGTCAGGGGAGGGGGGGGAGGGGGGCGCTGATTCCCACCAGTCGGTGGCTCGGAGCCGCCGTTGTCTAGTGCGACATGATGCTGGGCGTGCACGTGCACATCGTCGACACCATGATCGTGAATGACGGAAAGGGGGGCCGCACAAAATAGAGCATTACAAGCATCTTGTGGGCGATGCAATTGGGCCGTAAAAGTCAGATGGCAAACCCGGGGCCATCCCGCGGGCTGGCACGAGCGCGCCACTCCGCCCCCACAACACCGAGACCGTCTTCTCGGATAGGCACAGCGAGTTGTCGCCCATTTGCCCCCCCCCCCCCCCTCCCTCGACACCTCGGACCTCGGACAGCCACTGCTTGGGCCAGAGGCCATTGGCGGGGGCAGTCGGCTTGGTCCTGCGCACCACCCGTAGCTCCCTCATGCTCATCTCCTACAAGTGCCTCTGGAGGGAGTAGGGTGGATAGCAAATTCACAGGGCCGGTTCGCGTGACCAACACCTCAAGCGTCATCAATCGGTCCTGCCTTCGCGATGTCCGTCGAGTTGTTGGACTCACGTGCGCGCACCGCCTAGAAGGAGGCCGGCAAGTTGCACGAAAGTGCGTTTCGAACTCATGCACCAAGATCAGACCCATCCGCGCACATGCACATCGCAAGCGGACTGCGTGCCACTTCAAAAGCGAGAACAGCCAGCGTTTGGTCGACGCCTGGTGGCGGCTGCAGTCGCCCGGGCCTCCAATGACTCGATGCTCGTCTTCCGAGTGCACGAGGACGCCCTCCGCCTCGCTGTGGTGAGTCGACACCGCGCCCAAGCAGTGACAGATCAAGGTCAAGCTGCCCTTCCCCCTCTCTGCTACCGTGCCATAGCCAATAGTCCAGCAGGCACCATCACGACGACCTGGTGGGCCGACACGCTCGCCGCTCCTCACCAAGGCAATGCACGGCAAGTCGGCGCGTGCGCGCATCGCCGAAAAGCAGGCCGGCAACAAGGTAACTTACTCCAACTCCAGCTAAAGCCGGCACGGCGCGTCCAAACTGATCGACGACGCGATGGGCGTGTGTCGGGTAGGCGCTGCGGGCAACGTGGCCCAGGAGCGCGCGCGCCCGCTGCCTCAATCAAGGGCAGCACCAGAAACGCACAGAAGTTCCCCTACTCTGCCGGCACCGGCTCGGCCGCCGCTCGCCGGCAGAGTGTCTGGCGTGTCAGCCACTCGCACAAGCGCCTCCTGGTGCACTGGCACGCGCCCCGCTCCGCGCCGACGTCAAGATCGCCGCCAGTTTGGCCGACACCCCAGTAGAATATAATATCCGCCGCGGACTCGCCAGGACTCCGCCGGCGGACACCGGAATCCGCCGGCGGAGCGCGATGCCAGGTATGAGCCAAGCGCGCTGAATGTCTCCGCGCACACTCTGCCGCGCGGAGTGTGCCTAGCAGCCATGCCGCCGGGCCGCTCCGCCAGCGCTGCGCAGAGTCCGCCAGGGGCGCGCCTGGCGGAGCGCTCTGCCGCTGCCCTGCTGCGCGGATCGTGCCCTTGGCCTGCCGGGCAGCCTCCGCCGCAAGGCGCTGTGCGGCCTCCGCTGAGACTGCGCCGGGCGGACTTGTGGCGGAAAGCGCGGCAGGCAGTTGTTAGGGGGGGAAAATTTAATTAAATTGGTTACCTATTTTGTCTCTCGCGTTGTCGCCCTGCCGCCTTCGCTCTGGACCCTCGCTTTGACTCACTCGGCCTAGGACCTTCGCTTTGACTCTCTCGGCCTAGGACCCTCGCTTGGGCCCCTGACCAATGTCGTCACAACACATGTAAGGCTGTCATCATGGTGGGTTGGGTTACTACTAGCCGCGAGACACGCATGTTGCTGGCAATGCCGG